TGTATGTCATCATGTTCCCGAAAACGTTTGTCTATCCTGACCCCCAAGACGTCCATGACTTGCACGCGCGGTAATTCAACAGATGGATATATGTTGTCAACAACCAAGCTACCCTCAACATCTGGCGATACAGTGTTCATATACATGAGTGACTCCTTTTTCCAATCAAAGCCGTGTCGCATCAGCGCTGTCGTCATCTCTGTGATCATTATCTCCAGCTGGTCATCCGAAACTGCAAAAAGAAATACGTTGTCAGCCCACAACATGTTAATAATTTCCCAGTCGTTTGGCGCTCCAACTGTTCCCAGAGGGCACCCCAGGTCACGTTCAAACCATCCAGCACACACCGGCTCAAAAATCATGATGCTGACGAGGACCCACAACATTGGGGCTTCGATCGATCCAGTTCTGATACAACTTTCCCAAGGAATATGGGGCGTCTCGATCTCCTGAAAACGAAGTGTGGTCATGTTATTGGCATATCCGTCGAGCACTGCATATGCCAAATTTGGGTTGACATTGGAAAACTGCATAGCCTCTGCCGCGCAAGGCATGGTGAAATTGTCGAAGGCTCTGGCGACATCAAGCGACGCCCAAGACAGCGAGTACGATTTGCCCCACATGGCCGCGTGCCTCACAAGGTTCTTGAGGCCACTCGTCACCTCATGGGTTCTCCTTCCAGGCATGAATCCATATAATTGACAGTGCTTATGGCTATCAATCGATCTGACATGCCTTTCCAAAAGCTGTGCTAGACAACTGCTATACCACTTGCGGAATACACTTAGAAGTACAATGGCTCCTGTTTCTGCGAAACAAAGGGCCCATTCATTTTGGGGAGTAACGTGACGCAAAGCATTCTCCATTCTTGAGAAGTGACAGATCTCCTGGCCAAGAGCTTGTGAAAGGCTTGTAATATTATACACAGAGATGTCCAAGGTAAAGCTTTGAGCAGAGATGCACCGATACCGTCCACTCCCACTGCCCTCCCCATATTTAATCTCGCCCTGGCCCGAAGCAATAGCCCCATGGTAATCGGATTTCCACAGAGAGATGTAGCCTCGGCCTCCTGGAGTAACTTCCGACCACACTCATCATTGGCAATCTTCTGGGAGCTGTCCGCGCATCGGTTTCACCCATGCTGTTGGAGTGCCCTTTCCCAAGCTATCCGATCCTCCGTTTTGACACCATCAACCATGACGTGCGTGATGTGCTTACGTGTCTTCTTTCCGCCCCTAACTTTGAACTGGACCTGGCGACTGCGATAATGTCGTCGTACTTTGTTCCAAATCCGTCGACTCTGCCGAAACTCCTCAATCGTGATCTCCCCCCTCTTCCATTGTTTGTGTTTTTGGTAGCGTTGATTCCTCACCTCCACCTCCTCCTTGGTCATCGATGGGGGCCTCAGGGGGTCATGTTGGAGCCCTTCAGGAAACGATGATGCTGTTCTCCTGATAGCCTGTGCCTGGGCCCCAACATCGGTCTCGTCCTCAATGGAAATCACGTCCTCCTCCTCTCCTCCTGCAAACGGGTGAGATGTGGGAGCTAGGGCATGATCAAGACGCCATGCCACAACCTTCTCCATCCCTGGCGGCACTCTCCACTTGGCAAAGGAAGGAATAGCTGGCACCGCCTCTCGAGATCTCATCTTACTCAATTGGGGCACATTCATTTCCAACAACTTGTGGTCACTCAAGAGCGTGACGGGCGTATCCGATGGTACGTTACATGGTAGAATCCAATGCTTAAAAACAACAAGATGCGGCCAACGACGCGGGATGGCTAAATAATCGCACACGTGCTCATATCCATGTTGTGAACGCCACGCACATGCACTCACATCCGCCCGAGATCCCTTTCGACCCCCAAAGGTGCTGGTGACCTGGAGTCTCTTGGCGCCCATAGTGGTACACAGAGCGCCCGCCATACAAGTTCTGATAGCGCGCTTTTGCTCGTCATGCCCCCCCGTCGAGGAGCCTCAGAGCCCAAGGTAGCTTCCCCAGACACCTGGAAACCGTTCATGACCGAGTTACGAAAAGCTTCCACATTCGCATCCATCGAGATAATCACATGCTTGATCCCGAACTCCTTCTTAAGGCCCTGGACGGATAACGCCATACTAAGTAGGAGCTGCTGATACCACGCTACTGTTTCCCGCTGCGTTTCCCAGTTTCCAGAAAAATCGAAAGTATATTTGCGTGGTAAGTAGAAAGATACAAAGAGGAAGCCCTGGAAGACACAGATGACGAAACGTTCTCCAGGTTGATGTTTGCGAAAGGGTGGCAACAACTGTTTGCCCGCGGCAACCCCTGCCTTCCCCGCATTACAACGGAAGATATGATACGACGTATCAGTATCAACAACCTCTTCCTGCATGAATTGGCATTCTTGGAGTCCAATGACGCCCGACCCCATGCCAGTGAAACGTTTGAAAACTGCGGCAGCCTGACGCGTCCCAAGCCGCCTAACATTCCAGCCTGCCACGCGGCAGCCTGGGCACCCCTACTCCGGCCTGTTGCTCGTTGCCTGGAGCTCCTGTGCGTTAATCGAGCTGTCGGCTTTCGCAATCTCCGAGGCTGTGAGCTTCCATCCATCTCCTCGCGTCCAGACTCCAAAGCATACCTCATGTGCTCTCTGCATCTGCGGGCGTGCGCACGCCCAGCTCAATGTACCCCCACCGCGCTCAACCCTGCACTGTTCCGTTGGTACTTATTTCATACTGTGAAACATCGCCGTAAGCTTCTTACCTGCTCGAACTTGTGGTTCTTTCCACGGAGGATTTTCAACTTCCAAAGTTAAACGTTGGTCGATCCTGGTTCCCAAGGAATCCTCACTGCGTAATATCACGTCTTTGTTTTGAATAGCTTCCCACCACTCCCCCTGCACCTCCCACGCAGTGTTTTTGGATACTCCTGGCTTGGAAAAGATCTCAATATGATAAACTCCATCACGTCGGTGGTTGGCTCCAGAAGTCGCGATGCGATCGAAGATCTTAACCTCCTCACTCTCGTGATGTCCAGAAATGTCATTGATGAGTACTTTCACCGTCTGCTCTGTATTATCCAGAAGCAGGTTTCGACCAGTACGTCCAACCACCTGTCTCGGATCACCTGTAGCCCATCCCTTAAGAATAATCCATCCTGGCGTATGCTCTGGGCGAACAATATTCCAGTGTTGTCAATACCTTTTCGACTCCCAGCATCAGAGGGCGGTCCAGAAGCGCCTGCCCTAGTACTGGCCCCATGGAGGACACGTGCTGGATCAAGATTATGATTCTGAAGCTTTGTGATGGCCTGCTTCTGCTCTAACTGTTTACGTTTCATCTCCTCCACATCCCTGGCGACGTTATTCAACGAGTCCCTGACAGGAGAAACCTCCTCCCGAACTAATGCACGTGTTCCTTCTTTGAAATTCTCGAGTTTGGATTCCATCGTTCTGGTCTGATTGGAAAACATCGTAGTCAGGATATATTTGAGTCCCTCCCCAACGGCAAGATCAGCATCCTGAGGGCCCTGTGCTGGCGGTGGCGGCGGCGGGGCCGCCTTCCTGGAAGGCGGGGACGGGCGACCAACACCTGGATCGCATGCTGCTGATGACTTGGCCTGCACTGGCGGTCCTGGTTTAACAGCTGTCGATGAGGCTGCACTGGGGTCCGTGGGCACCTGCTCTTTTGGGCCTCCAGGGGCTGGGGCTGGACGGAAGCCTCCAGGGCCCCCTCGCCAGGCCTCTCCCTCACGAGAACCTGTTGCACCTCCTCCTCCAACTCCTCTAGCTTCCTCACCACGTAAACCTGCACCATCCACCTCCATACCTGCTCCTGCTGCCATTCTGCTGAGATGAACCCCCGACCTGCTTCCTCCATACCCTCCATGTGGAAGGTTCGGACGTCAAAAGCGCAACATTATGTCCCACTGTGTCCGTTTATGTCTTGTTTGTCTTCAAATGTATTGATATGTCTTGCATGTCGTCAAATGTCTTGATATGTCCTGTAGTTGGGTCAAAAACTCATCATCATCATCATCATCATCATCATCATGACGATTTACTCGGCCAATAGAATGATATCCCAAAGCGATTCATCACAGGCTTGCCACCAAACAGCATAGAAGTCCACTGCTCTATGTCCCAGGGCGGGTCGGGTCGGGAACAACAGAAGGCTATGAGCACGGGACGGGCGAGGCACGCGATGCTCCTGCGACCTTCCCCCTACTCGTGTCACTGTACGGCCCCCGTGTCGTCATTACTGTGCACGCACTCTCATGACGATTTACTCGGCCAATAGAATGATATCCCAAAGCGATTCATCACAGGCTTGCCACCAAGCAGCATAGAATTATACTGCTCTATGTCCCCAATCACCATCAAGAGGTCCCGAATCACAGAGATGTTTTGGCCTCGGGCGGGTACGGGAGGAAGAGGCCGTTCCTGGATGGGCGGTCGTCCGTGCCACCGAACTCGCAACGTGCTTCTGGGCCCACAGGGATCTGAAGGTGCCGGCGATAGCAGCGCAGAGACGAGGTGGGTAATGTTTAGCACGGTCGGTCTTCCATCCAGTCGTTTCTTTTCCTTCAAGATGTTCGTGGGGTTTTCCTGACCTAGAGCATATGCCCGATTTGCCCACATCTTCGGTTCAGGAAAGAGTCGTCGAGATCTGAGGACATCAAGATGGCGGTCCGCTTCCTGAAGTCAGTCCCGAACTGGCACTGGTCGAAAACAACAGACTTAGCGAACTTGGATTCTGCGATGTGCTTCAAAAACGGGACGAGCCAGAGCATAGAAGAGGCGGGGTTCTCGATCATGAACGGTACTCCATATCGAATAGCTTGCCGAACGAGTTTGCAGGTTGCTTTAGCGAGCCGGTTGCCTTCGAAACAGACTTGCTTATCTAGATCCGAGAGGTTGGAAAAGCCCCAGATACACCCAGGAGAACGAACAGCACTCGGCATAGGTGAGGAGGGAGGTGCTCTTCTGGCTATACTGAATGAGCGGCATGGCGTAGCCGCGAATATCCACTGCACGCGGCCCGAGCTGATCAACTTCAGAAGTGCCTTCATCACTCCCGGCGCAAAAATGTCGATCTCAAGCTCGAGCTCTATCTCTAGCGACGAGATGCCACACCTCGCCACCGCCTTGCCGACTCCCTCGGAACCAGCGAAGATGTCGAGGAAGATGTCGCCTCGCTCCAGCCAGGCGGTCGGGGCGCGCTCACCGTGCCGAGGAAGGTGTCTCCAAGGTGCGCCGTGCAGAGCCTGAGGTACTCCTGGACGCTGTCGTCTAGGCCCACGAGCAGGGAGTTGACCTTGCTGGACTTCTCGTACCTGATGAGAGAGCTCATGCTGGCCCAGCGCCCGCGACGCTGGACCCACCTGAGACCTCCTGCCCGTGATGACGTCCCACGACGGGCCTGCGCGCCGAAGGCTGTAGGGGGCGATCCCCAGGCCCTCGAGCCGGCACACCTTCAGCGCCTTCGCGATCATGGCCCCGAGCTCCGCCTGCGTGAAGCCCCACAGCGGGTCGCTCGCCCCCTTCCCCTGGCGGTACAGCTCGAAGAAGTGGCCGAGGAACTGCAGGTTCTCGTGGTCCATCGTCACGTTGTCGTCGTAGACGCCCGTCTTGGTGGGGTCTCCGTTGCTGTCCGAAGGCCCCGGGATCAGCGACCACTTCTGGTACTCTGGCCAGTAGCCAAGCGCGGGTGGGACGACGTCCCGAACGCGGAGCCCACACAACTCCCCTGGCCGCAAGTAGGCGCTCAGCGCGACCAGCACGGCCACCGCCATGTCCGTGCGGCCCAGGAGGTGGAGCGCCACAGCCAGGCCACAGATCGTTGGGTATGGGGGCGGCAGGCGACCCAGCGCGGGCCTCCGGCGTCCCCAAGCCTTCAAGCACCTCTCGAACCTGGCCAGCGGCTTGGTGTTGGGCCGCTTCAGGTTCGGGTAGTAGAGGGGCACAGCGGCCTTCAGCTTCTCGCCATCGTGCTTCTTCCTGCCCTCGAGATACGCCTCGTCCGCCCAGTCCAGGAGGGCCGTCTCCAGCGAGTCCAGGGTGCTGACGTTCAAGCCCTAGCGGCGGGCGTACTCGTAGAACTCCTCGATCCGCCTGTGGCAATCCTCGACCTGGACGGGCCTCGCAGCGATGCTCTCGAGGTAGGAGAGGCCTCCGCTGCTGGCCGAGCGCCGGGCGGCAGCCAGCCCCTGTGGCGACTGGCCGCCCTCCAGTGGCACAGCTTCGCGCACTCGAAGGTCGGGGCGATCCAGATGCATCACTGGCGCCGCCTCGACCCGCTGCGCCACGTTGCGTGTCGCGATGCCTGTCGCCACTCTGCGTCTCGCCGCAGGCGCCCTCGACAACGCGCCCGCCATCAGGATGAGGGAGCCCAGGGAGGACGCCATGCATGGCCCAGAGCAGCAGCTGCAGGTTCCCAAAGCCGCGAAGGTCGATCAGCAGGATTGACCCCGGACGGGATCCAGCGGCACTGTACCCGCAGCCCAGTGGCGAGCTGCAGCGCGGCCATCTGACGAAGCTGGCCGAGGAGGGCTGGATCGCGACAGCGGCCTCTCTGCATGGCCAGCGCGAGTGACATATTGTCCACCAGCATGAGCACCTTGCTGTGCCGCCAGCGCCCGCAGCGAACCACGTGCTTGAGGCCGAGCTTGGCGCCTCTCGCCTCCTTGACGTGAATGGCCCCCTCGTGGCAGCCGCAGGGACGCTTGGCGACCACGGCCCACTTCGAGTCTCTGACCGAGGTGGGCGCAACGTCGGGAAAGTTCCCGATGCAAGCCAGGCGCCCTCGCTGACGCCCGCCATGAAATTGCCGCCCCTGTCGATCGGAGGGTCGGCGTGGTCGTATCCCGCCAAGGCGATCTCACGGTGCTTGCGCAGCGGGTCCTTCTTGAACCTCCAGCGCTCGTCGTAGCTGCCAGTGATTCGTATATCTCGAGAGTCCCACTCAGCAGCACAGACGCCCAGCCCAGTATCGCAAGCATCCGTCGTCGGCGTGGACCAGCGGCAGGATGGCAGCGGCGATGAGGAGCTCCCTCTTGACGCTCGGCCAGAGGTTCTCTGGCCCCCCTCCGGCAGCCTCGGCAAAGGCGAAGGAGGCCGCGATGCAGGACAGGCAAGGGCGTCGAAGCAAGAAAGCGAAGCAGAGGTGCCCAAGCATGGCTCGCATCTCCCTCCCAGTGCAGCGCCCGCGTCGTACAAGAGCATGTAGCCCAGCGTACAGTCGCCACGCCCTGGCGGAGGATAGCCTGACCACCTTCTTGTCCCCATCGAGGTGCACTCCCACGATGTCCAAAGAAGTGCTGACCTGCTCGATCTCATGCACGTGAAAGCCTGCTTGCCGAATGCCTTCGAGAGCCTGACGGCGCGTGGCCTCAACCTCGGCCTTGTCGCAGCCGAAGACCCCGAAGTTGTCGACGCATGCCAACTGAACAGGTCCCCCCTCAAGCGAAGGAGGAGGTGTGCCGTCACGAAGAAGGCGAGCTGGAGGAAGACCAGCCCGCCGCAGGAGCCCCTCATGGACGAGTTGGGCCGCCCACATTGCCCACGAAAAGCCCATCGGTAGTGACTGCAGAGCCGGGTAGATGAGCTCGCTGGGACCAACCTTGATACCATTGATGCTCTCCACCCCCACAGCCGAGGCACGGACCGCTGGTAGTGCAAAATACTGAGAGAATTCCTCATCGATCCTGAGCTCGTGGAAGTAGTCCTTGATATCGAAGCTGGCCGAGAAGATGGTCTGGTCAGAGGCGCACTCAAGACGGCTGAGCGAGTCGCCAGTAGCAGGCTGTATTGAATCTGGGATGTCAAATCGTATGTTGGTCCTTCGTACATCGCATATAAGTCGTAATTCACCACTCTTATTGTGAACAAAGAACAAGCCCACCTTTTCCTTGTAGGTTCGAGTCCAGCGCACCAGTCCCCTGTCACGCAGATCCCGACAAAAACCCTCCCACTTCGCAGGCTGTGCCTCCAGCACTGGGTCAAAGTAAAGATTGGGCAGTCCCTCGCTCTTGATACGCAATGCATACTCCTCGTCACTGAGAAGGATGGTGTCGCGAAACCGCTTAAGCTTGTGCGACGCGTCCGAGGGCAGAACGCTGTAGATGTCCACCCCGTGCAGGTCGCGGCTCGGCAGAAATACTGAAGCCGAACCAAACGGTGCAATGTTCCCGGCACACTCGCTGTCACCATAGCGGGTGTCTGTACGCAGAAGCGCCGCGAGGGCTTCTTGCGGGGCGGGTCTCTCCTTAGGCAAGGGCACAGTTTCAACCGCTTCACGGGCCGGGGCAGCAGCAGCACGCGCCTGCTCACCACCAGGGCCGCTGGGCGACTTGTCACCGACGCCCCCGAGCTCGTTGAGACCCCAAATAATCTCGTCGGCGCGCCTGTCGATCCAGGCACGGCGACAAATACGTTGTTGAACTCCACGACTTAGTGAGCTACGAGGGCCTCCCCCATCATGATGTCGAGGCAGGGGTAGAAGGTCACGCTGCCGACCGTCTGCCATGCCTTGGTCAAAAACTCGTCGCAGCCCTCGCAGAAGACAGCGACTCGGCGGCGGCCCGAGTCGGGCCACGAAAATCGAAATACCGCGGGGCGGCTAGCCCTTCCTCGCAAGGGCCGCCTCCTCGCGGGCCTTGCGTCGTTCCTTCTGGATCGCAGCCTCGCCTTGGAGCTGCAACGCCACGTGCGAGGTGAGCTGCGGCGCCACGGCCGCGACCTTCCTGCCGAGGCCTTGGAAGTGCTCGCTCCCATCGAACCGCGGCGCCTTCGGGTTGGACGTGTACGCCTCCTCCAACAGCTGAACCCTCCTCGACAGGATCTCGAAGGAGGCGAGGGCAGACACGTCCAGTTGATCATATGTGAGCGCTGTTTCAAGAATCTCCATGAGACTGCCATGCTCGTGATTGACTCTGTCGTTGTCCGGCACATGGGCGTCTCGCATCCACTTCTCGGTCCTGGTGCGCGGCACGCTCCCCTGGTCTCTGATGAACTTGCACAGCCAGAGCGTCGCCCTCGGGCCGACCACCGGGAAGTCGTCGAACCGCGGCTCCTCCAGCAGCCCGACGGCATTCGTGTAGGCCCTGAACCTCTGGCCCATCTGATCGTACAGCACGGGCAGCACTCGGGCGTCAGAAGACTTGAGCGGCGCTGCAGCCGCCGCCCCGTCTCCAATCGCCTGAGGTCCGAGGCCAGCTCCTGGCAGACCTGCCCCAGAAGCTCGGACCACCGCCTGCTCGAGCTCGCCCTTCCTCGAGACCAACACATTCTTCTTGTTGCCGACCGCGATGCTCTCCAGCACGAGGGTGGCCGCCCCGAGCTTGACCAGCGCGAACTTGCCCATGACGATGGCAGTGGCGTCCACGCTCCAGTCGGACCCGATGGAGGGCGCCCCCGGCTGGCCGTCGTTGGCCGCCACGATCCACTGCGTGCCAGGGGCGGGGCCGCCTCCGGGCGCCACCGCGGCCCCCACGGCTGCTCCAGCCCCCGGGATGGCGGCGCCTCCACCCACGGCGGCGAGCGGCACGGCAGGCGGGGCGGCCAGGCCGTCGGCCGCGGGAGCCGCGCCCACGTCTGCCACCAGAGCCCCGGCCCCGGCGCCGGCGGCGGCGGGCGGCGGCCCAGCCGGCAGGCCCGTGTCGGCGGCCCAGCCATGCTGACCCACCCGATCACGCACAGCACCAGACTCAGCATCAGCAGCGTCGTCGTCGATGCCCAGCCCAGCCCTATGAAAGTCGGAGTTACGGGGGGGGGTCGGGCCCCCCTGCCGAAATGGCTAGGTCGCCGGCAATGGTTTTGAGCCAAAACGGCAATATCTACTTTTCTTGCTCGCCGCGGGCTCGTATTTGCCCAAGTTTCACACGCGCAGGTTTGGAAAAGAGCTAACTTGACGGTTTTCGCCATCAACAGAAAGCAATAACAGCGCGCGGGCCCCAAACGAGCAATTATCAAGGCGACTCGTGCGAAGCCGCGATGTTTTGTGGGGGGGCGAAACCATGGAAGGCGAGGCGTGGGTGGAAGGGAGGCCCACGGGAGGCCATTGCATAGCGCGCTGGCCTACGAGGGGCCGAACCACTACAACAGTCTACGGCGCCTCCGGCCAATGGGGCGAGAGGCCGTGGGACGCCATGGGAGGCCAATGGGCGCCATGGGGAACCACTGGAAGCCGCAGGAGGTCCAGCAACGACGGCCGACCCCAGCACTCAAGGCCACTGGGGCGGGAACCCGGAGGATGCCATTGAAGGCCACGGGGCAACGCAGAGGACCACAGGAGTCCGCCAAGCGAAAACTGACCCCGGCACCCAATGCCATTGGACGAGAGACCCTAGAAATGCATAAGAGGCCATAGGATGCCACATGGGGCCGTTGAAGGCCACGCAGCAAGCGCCGCCTCCAGTTTCCGCGGCCCGATCCTCGGAACGCCATTCGAAAAAATGAAATGCAAGCTCTGGTTGAAGCAAAAAAACAAACAATGAGCATCACATCGAAAGTAGCACATATCATTAACGGGCAAGGCAATGGGGAAGGACAAACAATCACGCGTTCACGGGGCCCGGGTTATGGACGAACGGCGGACGAAACCAGCTTGTTAGAATCGAGCTGCGAATGAAACAACAGCGAAACCATCGTGGCAACACGCCGCAGCGGAGCAACCAGATAATCCCAGACTTGCCCGAATTCCGCGGGGTGCCGAGCTGGTGCAACTGGAGGCTCCAAGATGGCCCACTGGAGGCTCCAAGATGGCCCCAACGCGATCAAAATAAATATTCGCCTGTGCTTGGGGGGCGGCAACAAAGGCGCAGCCCTAGATACACAAAGTTCGCACTGTGACCGATTTGGGAAAGCAAATCAACTGCCCAAGGATTGCATGATAACGCTCCCAACGGCGGCAGCCCAATGGATATTTTTGCGAACGCACCAGCTGCGATCCCAAGTTTCTCGCGCTCGGCCAGCGGAGAATGGTGCCCCGCAGAGGCCGCCGTAACCCTGCCTGGCGAAACGCACCCCCTTCGGCAGTGCAACTCCTGCTCTCTATGAGCACCCGCGTTGCACTGAGCTACCACCCTGGCGCCGTACGCCACTGGGCTACAGCCGCGCACAAAATAAGACGGAAACGATCCACGACATAAGGGCGAGGGAAAGCGAGATATAATGAAGGAGACTGCGAGGATAGGGGGGGAAGCGGGAGACGGGGCGGAGAGGGGGGGCAAGGACGCAAGACCCGATCGAACCACCCAACACGGCATGCGCATAACAGTAAAAGCACGCATGATAAATGCGGGGTCGCATCATCGGCACGCGCGCGAAAAACGGCGGCGCTCTGTCCACAGCGGCGCTGTGTCTACGCCGAGGAGATGCCGCGCAAGAACTGACTCCACTCCATCCTGGCGCCCTGCTGCAGACCCGGGTAGGCCTCCAACATCTGAGCAACGAAACTCTTGACCCTGTCATCCTCGCCGGCGTGGCACGGAGAAATCGACTTACGGAAGTATGAACAGCCCGCACTGCCGACGAGGGACGCAACCATCGATCCACTCGGGATGATGAGAACATCGCCTGGCTGAGCCGTCAACATGAAGCCTTTGCCCTCGGGCATGCTCTTCGCGAGCTCGCCCCCATCGACCGTTGGCAATTGGGTTGCCCACTCCTTGAAATTCACCTGGGAACCAAATCCGTTCCACGCACGAGGATCTCAGGGGACAATTTCGTTAACAAGCCATTCCTGGGGGAGTTCACAGGTGCAGTGGGAGGCTGCAGAGGAGGAGAGGGAGTCGGTGAGCACATTATCCATACACGTGTCGTAACACACACACACACACGTACACATACACACGTACACACACCGACGAGGAGGAAAGGGAAGAGGAGGATGAGGAGGATGAGGAGAAGGAGGGGGGCGAGGATAAGGAGAAGGAAGGCGACGAGGCGGACTGGATGGGAAGATCGGGAGACGAGGGCGGGAGGATGAGCGGCATGAGCAGGAGAGGGGGCGAAGAGGAGCAGCAACAACGACGGCTGGGAAGTGCATTTACGTTTTGACGGTTTGTACCGAAGGGTCGGCGGGGACCGGAATGCCCCCGAGGAGCTCGGACCCGTCGGTGTAGATGCGGATCTCGCTGCGCCCGAATGGCAATGGGGCTACCCCATGGCAGTCGCCCTTCTTGGCAACGCACTGGAACTGGTAAACGGTAGACAACATGTCCGCATGGCCTGCTTCTCTGCCCAGATCGCGGCGTCGTCCTTGCTCTTGATCTCCCGGCGAATCGGCATCGCGAAACCCACAGGCGGCACTGTACCAATGAACTGCTGCTGTCCTGAGCCCGTCAGGGACGTCGCCATCCACTCCATGAACTTTTTATGCGACTTGATGTCTTGGACCACCTTCACCAGGGACTCGCCGCGCGCGAGGCGCGCGCACACGTGGGGCCCCCACACGCTCAAGGCGCCCTTCACGTTGACGGCGCCGCCGTCGCCGAAGGCAATGGCCAAAGCACGCGACAACTTACTGTCCGAACCGCCCTCGTTAATGCTCATGGCCGCCTGGAGCTTGCTGGCCTTGGCGGTCTTCTTGTCCGCCTTGGTCCTCTGGGCAAGGGCGGTCTTCAACCTAGCAATGGATTTGGAGAGCTTGCGGGGGGTGGAACTCTCCGCGGCGACGCTCTTCTCGACCTGCTTCAGAGCCGCCTTGAAGGCCTCGTAGGGGCCCCCAGACGCCAAGATGTCCTTCAGGGACTGGCCTGCAATGATGTTGCCCATCGACTTCTGGGCATCATCGGTCCACGCGCCGAGACCGAGGTGCAGCGTAGAGGCCTCCTTGACCATGTCTTTGAACGGATCCTCCATCTTTGACCATGTCTTTGAACGCTAGGGAACTCGACCGTCCGCACGTGCGTCAGGAGCTGATCCGACGACAGCTCCAAAGCCTCAGCTTGCCCCTGCATTGTAAGCTTCGCCTTCGCGATCTGCTGCCGCATCTTCAGCAACAGGTCGGCGTGGTCGGTGCTCTTCTCCTCGGCTGGAACTTCCACGCCCTCGGCCTCCACCTCGCACTGCATCATGAAGTCGTTCAAGTTCTTCTGCAAGCGCTCCACCTCTTCCATGCCAACCATCGTCCCGTCCATTGCAAGCCACGGCTGGTCCAAGGGCATGTCCATGACCGCCCCTTCCACGAACTGTTCCGGCACGTGGCCGTCAGCGTCTTGAGGGGCGAACTCGGCCATGGACGGGGCCGGGGGAGCACGGGCGATGAAGCTGTCCAAGACATCCGCTGCGCGCCCAGCTGCCTCCGTGTCATCGCACGAATGAACTGCCTTGGAGGCCGCAGAGGCTAACGCATAAATATATATATATATATATACATATGTATATAACATGCAACGTATTCTCCTACATTGCATATGCGTGTATACCTGTTTATGCGCGTGTTAATATACTCGGCTGCGTGAATGCGTTGCATGGCTTTTCCAATAACGTATTTACTTATATTGGCAGCGGTCCAGTGCCAAAAACGAGGCCATCCCTCGGAAAGGTCGGCCTTGAGCAACGCGTTCGGCCGCCGCAGTCAGCAACCGACCGACGCTGCCCCAGGGAAAGAGAAGGGCCGTACTGTAAAATACGCCCTCCCCACACCCTCATCCCAGGTAGCCTCCATCCGCACTGCATGCCCAACCTCCGTGAAGCTCTCGTCCATGACACCCTGGTACTCGGCCATGTGCCACATGTTGTCGATGAGCTTCATCTTGTAAGACTTGTCCATGCACCGTCGTCGCCACTCCTGCTTGGCGCTCTCGGCGGTGTAGCCTTCAATCATGAGGTCGCGCTTCACGATGTGCCATGGCTTCCAATGCAAAAGCTTCCCCGGACGCTCGCCCTTCTTTTTCTCGTCGGCCTCCGTGGCCTTGAGTCTCTTATTCTGCGCCCTCTTCTGGGCCAGAGAAAGTTTCGAGGTGATAGCCTTTTTGCCTTTGAACCAGTCCTTCCTCTCATTCTCCTCCATCCCGTTGAACCACACCTGCAGCGAACGGTTGGTCTTCCACCTACGGGTCAAGTCTTTGTAGTGCCCATTACAATCATTGCAGTCGCACGGGAGGCCCATGGCGAACTTCTTCTTGTCCTGAGTGGTCTTGGCGATGGTCTCATCGGTCAGAGGGTCGTCGCACTTTGGGCACTCAAGCTGCATGGCGCCAGCATCGCGTGCCTCGGCGTCCTCGGGCAGGCTTCGCTTCGCGGCCTGCGGCTGAACCTGCAAGCACGGCGCGGGAGCCGTGCCCGGAGTGGGTGGCGCCCCTGCCGCGCCCTCAGGCGTGGCGGCCCCGCCAGAGCCGACAACAAACGCCTCTGCCAAGGCCCCAGGGGCCACGGCCCCCAAGGTGGCAGGGACCTCCATTCCGCTGGGATCGCCAGCGGCTGGCATTATCGTAGCACCTGGGGGGCTCGTTGCTGCGGGCGCAGCGCTGATCCAAAGACCGCCGAAATAGATTTGACCGCCAATAGCTACCATCTGCACTGCCGCCACCAAGCTCAGGTGTGATGAGCCTCCGCTCTCTACTCGAATGCCTGCCCATAACAAGACAAATAAGGAAAGCGAAGAGGAGATTGGAGGAGGGACGAGAAGACGGAGGAGGAGGGGAAGGGAGTTGATGAAGGCTTGTCCTTCGGACGAGAGGGCCACCCAAACAGCCCCTGAGAGACTTCCAAAATGGCCCCGAGGGCGCCCTCTGAGGCCCCTCCGAGGGCCCTAGCCAGAGTCCAAGAGGGCCCCGAGAGAGACTTCCAAAATGGCCCCGAGGGCGCCCTCTGAGGCCCCTCCGAGGGCCCTAGCCAGAGTCCAAGAGGGCCCCGAGAAGGCTCCAAGAGGCTCCAAGAAGGCCCCAAGAGGGCCCCAAGAGGGCTCCAAAAAGAGGCACACTCGTGCATTTACTTTGTGCCTCCTTGGGGGGCCCTCTTGAGGCCGTCTCGGGGCTCTCCTCTTGGGCCCCTGCGGGGGCCTTGGGAAGTGTCCAAGAGGGCTCCGAGAAAGCTCCAAGAGGCTCCAAGAGCGCCCCAAGAGGGCCCCAAGAGGGCCCCAAGATCGGTCACGCGAGAAAGGCTTCGCGTGACCGCTCTTGGGGGCCTCTTGGAGCCGTCTCGGAGCTCTGTTGGGTCCCCCCAGGGGCCCTGGGAAGGGTCCCAGAAGCTCCAAGAGGCTTCAAGAGGGTCCCAACAGGGCCTCAAGCGGGCGCCAAGTGGGGGCCCACGAGGGCCCCCAACAGAATCATACAAAGGGACTCGGTTATGATTCTGTTGGGGGTTGTTCAAGCGGCAATCCGAGGGCCCTCTTGGGCCCCTTCTTGGGGCCCTGTGAGGCCCCTCCGAAAACCCTGCCAAGAGTCCAAGAGGGCCCCGAGAAGGCTCCGAGAGGCTCCAAGAAGGCCCCAAGAGGGCCCCAAGAGGGCCCCAAAAAGAGGCACACTCGTGCATCTACTTTGTGCCTCTTTGGGGGGCCCTCTTGGGGCCGTCTCGGGGCTCTCTTGGGCCCCTGCGGGGGCCTTGGGAAGGGTCCAAGAGGGCTCCGAGAAAGCTCCAAGAGGCTCCAAGAGGCCCCAGGGCACAATGGCTGGGCTGGCAATCCTTCTCAGCGAGCCCTGGAGCCCCCGGTCGGGGCTTCAAGCCCGCCCGATCCTCCTCCCCCCCCTCCTCCATCTGCTCCCCCTCCTCATCCTCCTCCGACACCTCTTGCATACCCTGGGAAGCCACACGTGCAATTAACCAAATGGGTTCCCCCCGCCTTGGAAGGGCACGCCGCTCCAGCCGGCGTTAAAACTGTTAAAGCAGTCCCCGGCGTTAAAATTGCTAAAGCAGTTTTGGCCCCCTCATCCTTCTCCTCCTCCTCCTCCTCCTCCTCCTCCTCCTCCTCCTTCCCCTCTTCCTCCACCTCCTCCTCACCCTCCTCTTCTTCCTCCTCCTCCTCCTCCTCCTCCCCCTCCCCACCTCCGTCCTACCATGAGGAGGTTAGCTTCTCTCGTGGGCGTTTCCCACGCGGATCCAAAAACGTCTATACCCGTGATAGACAGTTGATGAAGCATGAGAAGGCTCGACAAGGCGTCCACCCATCGCCGGCGGACCTCGCTGCTGGCCAGGCCCCCCCGGACGAAAACGAATGAGGGCGAAGCGAAAGCGGACGAAACGAAAGCGGGCGACACGAGAGCGGGCGAAACGACGGAGGACGAAACGAAACGAAAGCAGACGAAATGGAAAAGCGGACGAAACGAAAGAGGGCGAAACGAAAGAGAACGGCACAACAGCGGACGAAACGAAAGAGGACGAAACGAAAGAGGACGAAACGAAAGAGGACGAAACGAAAGAAGACGAACTAGACGAATACGAGAGGGAAGCGGGCAAAACGAAAAGGACGAAACGACAGAGGACGAAACGAACGAAACGAAACAAGGCAACGAAACGAAAGCGGACGGAACGACAGCGGGCGAAAATAATGACAACGAAAGAAGACGAAACGAAACGGGACGAACGGAAAACTACGAAACGAAAGAGAACAAAACGATTGTTGACGAAACGGAATAGGTCGTCGCTGGCGGGCCTCGCCGCTGGCCAAGCCTCGGTGGCGGGCGACGCCACGGGCTGACCAACGCGACAGCGCCCGCGCGCCGGCCAGTCCACAGTTCCACCCGATAGCGGGGAAGACTCAGAGGAGGTAAAAAGTGGAAGACGAGGAGGACGAGGAAAGACGGAGAGAAGGTGCGATAGGACGAGGAAGACACCGAGGACGACGAGGCAGCACGAGGAGAAGTTAAGTGGGATACGCGTACACTCAACGGAGGGAGAGGAGGAGAGGAGGGGACGAGAGAGGGACCAGGACAGGGCGAGGGTATTTACATGGCAGCGTGGCGACGCGCATCTCCACCTGGGCGTGGGCCCTGACGGCTCACGCCCGACGCGAGCGCGTGGGCCCTGACGGACCGCGTGCTCGCGCTCTGGCACGCCTGCGGCCGCATGGCCAACGCAGGCGTCTGGGAGCAAAGCGGGGTGGGTGGGCACCCGCGCGTCGGCCTGAGCCGAACGCTACGGACCCAAAATGGCGACCTGAGCCCACACCCCCTCCCACTTAACCTGCAGTCTACAACCAATCAGACTATACAAGTTAAGTGGGATACGCGTGCACTCAACGGAGGGAGAGGAGGAGAGGAGGGGACGAGAGAGGGACCAGGACAGGGCGAGGGTATTTTCATGGCAGCGTGGCGACGCGCATCTCCACCTGGGCGTGGGCCCTGACGGCTCACGCCCGACGCGAGCGCGTGGGCCCTGACGGACCGCGCGCTCGCGCTCTGGCACGCCTGCGGCCGCATGGCCATGAGAAGAGAGAACGCAGCCGCGCGCGCGGGGACGCCCAGCCCGAAGTGCGAGGGCGGACCCTGAGGCCGCAAGGACCTCGCGCGCGCGGCCACTTGCCTGCAACCTTGAGGCCTTCCGCGCCCCGCGCACCCAGAGCGCGGGCGCGGCGCGTGCGCGAAGCGCGCAAAAGAACAAGAAAAGAGCGGCGCCTGATGCGCAGGGCGCAGAGCGCAAGCGTGGCCCCGCCCGCACGGCGCGCAGGACGCGCAGCGCGGTCGGGTCCAGGAAGCGCGCGACGTGCGCGCCAAGTTCAAAAACCTCTCACTCACGGGCCTGGCCCGAGTAGCGGTCCGCCTCGATGGGCCGCCGTCTGCAGCCCGCAGCCCGCGATGCCGCGGGCGCTGGCGTCGGGATGTGGGGTGCTCCACGCCTAGATGGATGGCGTGTTCCCCTGACGGTCGCGGCTCTCGTCGCCGCTGCGGTCTCCGCCGCGCTCACTGTGATCCCGGGGGGCTGCCACCATCGCCGCCCCTCGACGCGCGACCGCCCGCGCTGGGCCTGTCACGCTCACTCCGGCCGCGGCTGCCCTGGTCGCCCTTGGAGTGGCCGCCCTTGCCGCTCTTGTCGCCCTTGCCGCCGTTCTTGGCGCCCTTGGCGGCCTTGCCGGAGTGCTTGCCCTTGATCTTGCCTCCCTTGCCGCCCTTGTCGCCTGCGCCCTTGCCACGCCAGGCTGGGGTCCCACCCCCGCCAGCGGCAGCCTCCGCAGCGGCCGCCGCAGCACGCCTCCGCTTTTTCTCCTGCTCGTACCAGCCGCCGCGGGGAGCGCGAAGCTGCCCAGCGTGCTTCCCGGTCTTGCGCCGCCCGCGGCCGGGGGGGGGGTCGCCGCGCCGCGCCCACGCTGGGTCCCGCGCCAGGCTGCGGCTGGGCGACCTCTCGCGCTTGGGCCGGTTGCGGCTGGGCGACCTCTCGCGCTTGGGCCAGCTGAGGTCGCCTGGCGGGCGGTCCCCCTCAGCCCCCGCGCCCGCGGCACCCGTGCTGGGGCGCTCTCCGTGGCCGGCACTGGGGCCCGGCGCCTCCCGCGCGGTGTGGCCGCTCTGCCGGGCCTTCTCCACCACCGTCTTGGGTTTGCCGAAGGCGACGCGGCAAGCCTCGCAGTAGCTCACGTCGCACCCCTTGCAGTGCCACCGCAGGGCTCCGCTGTTAGCTCCGCCCGCGGGGCACATTTCGCAACCCCAACCGTCTCCCGGGTCAAAGGAGCTCCAGCGCATCTTGAGAGCGCACGTCGGGCAGGCAGGCGGCTGGATGGTCGGGCCATCCTCCCCGTCGCTGCCTGGGTCAGGGCCGCGAGGCCGGCTCGCCCACTCCGTGACCACCGTGCACGGGTCCGTCTTGTAGAACCGATAGTTCGACCTCATGCACTCCCGCGCGCGCTTTGCATCAGCGCGGCGCTGGAACTCCACGAGCACACACGGCTCCCGCTTGTGGCGGTGGTCGTACAGGAAGGCGATGTGCTTGACGACCCCAAAGGGCACGACCACCTGCCTGACCACCTCGGCGTCGACGTGGTGCGGCACCCGCTCGATGCGGATGATGGACTCGCCCTCGTCGTGCTGGTCACTGGGCTGCTGCTGGGCGCTCTGGCGCTGCTCCTCCTTGCGCCTGCGGCGGCTCCTCGAGCGCGGCTGGCGCTGGGGCGGACCGTCCCCCGCGCCTGGCGTCGCCGTCTCCTCCACCTCAGTCTTCACCTCGAAGGACCGCGGCGGCGCCCCCCCGCTCTTGGGCTTCAGGACGGCCTCGCGCTTCACGACGTCGGCCCTCGGAGGTGCGCCCCCCGTCTTGGGCTTCAGGACGGCCTCCTCCTCCCGTCCCCTGCGCCCGCGATCGCGAGGCTCATCGCGCTCGCGATCGCGGCGCCTCGCGCGCGAGGGCGAGCGCACGGGCGCAGGGCGCCTCTCACGCTTGCGGACCTCCTCGGCGAGGCGCTCCTGCCCCGGGGAGCGCGGGGGCCGTGGGCGCTCCGCTGGAGCGCCTTTGCTCTGGCGCCGCGCTGCAGCCTGGATGGCCGCTCGCGCCAGCGCCGCGGTC